AAATACACAAAACACAACAATATTTAATGTCAATAATCACCATAACAACATATTCAACAACATTAATATTGTATAATAAACAACAAAAGATAATTTAAGAACATTTGTCACCATTACTTAGTAACTAACATAGTCTTATTGAAAGTACACAAAAATAAGTTTGTTTATCTAGTAGGGAACTGTCCTGCCATTCTGTGAACATTTGTTGGGCTAAGAGATCGTGCTTTTCGGTCCATTCAGGACTACATTCAACTTGATCTATGTAGTCGTCGTCAGACGGTGGGTTAGAAGGTATCGGAAATTCTAGAATCTCATTCTTGATGGGGTCTTCGGACATTGTTGTACGTATAAAATTATGAATAAGCGTGCACGCCATGATAATGAGATTTTGGGTCCTAGTGGGGTAAAAAGAGTTACTCTTAAGAATTGCCCAACGCATTTTTAGAGTCCAAAGCACGTTCAATCGCGTTCCTAGCTTTGGCGTGCCGAAGGTTGTAGAGTTCTCTACAGTTTTGTGGAGTACGGGACCCTGTACCCCATTCATCTAAGTGATATCTGACACCCCTATATGGTGATAGAAAGCCAGGACCATTTGTGTAACCACCATCCACCAAATAATAGTGTCCTGCATTTTAAACGATTGTGTTACGTTTGATTTAGTGTTTTACGGGTGGGTGTTGTTTACACTATTTATACTAAAAAATAGAGGGAATACCGTTTGGGACTCGGAGAAAATTTGCCCTAGTGATTGCATCTCTTAGTACTCGATTATCAGCAGCAGACCCCTCCCAGCCACAAAGCATGTAGACGAAGTTCATATTTCTATTGCACACCCCAAGGACATTAACTGATACTTGACCCTTTCGATTCCTATATCTTCCCCTATCTTTTGACGGGACTTGGACGTTAATGTGGTACATCTAGTGCTCCTAGACACACCTAACGAGAAAAAAAAATAGCATTAGTTTGGAAGGAATAGAAAAGAAAAAATTGACTAAAGGTTAGTAAGGGTCATGTGTTGTAGGCTACCTTGAACCATTTCCACCGTGCATCTGAACAATCATCCTCAACTGGCTTAGGTGTGGCGACTAGGACGGTGTGAAGGCCGATTACCGCATCAAGTACACGGTTAAAGTACTTGCTTACTGTTCTACCTGATCTCGTAAAATCAAACTTCAAGGTGACGTTTTTCTTGTGATGTGCGAGGATTGAAAGAAACATAGCAACTTGTTCACTCAGTGCAATGTTTCTAGATTAAACAAGACCCCCTAAATATTCAAGGAGGAAACAAAGGCGACCAAAACAGTTTATGTCCATACGGAGGTTCTTAAGGCAAGTGGTGTCGCTGACGTCGACTAGCCTTTGCATATGACTCACTTGAAGGGGCAATCTATCCCTCAATTGGTATGTGAGTCCGCTAGTCAACGAAGGTCGACGGCGGCGAGGGAGTATGAATTTGTGGTAGTATTAACTAGCTACTATGAAAAAAATCGAGCACCAAGAACAATCTCTTCCAAAGAGTGAGAATTAGTAATTTGTCTCGCACGTTATCCATCTACAAAGATTGAACAACATACGGCAAACTTACGACACCTATACTCCGATGAAAAAACAACCAAAACAAAACGTACAACACATAACAGGCACTAAAAACATGCTATTCATTCAGAATAAAACTAGAGCATACTTATTAACCCTTATTAATACAATTTATAACCTGTATTCATGATAATATTGAACTTAATTCATCATGCTTATTTTCTCAAACGTTATACATCTATAAAGATTGACTGGGAAATAAGTACTTCACATTGTTGGTGAACATACTGCACATCAAATATTGAACTACAATTATGAACACCCATGTACATAACAAATCGTATTCAGCACATGCAACGCACAAACTGAGCAACAAATATTCATACTGGACTCTTTAAAGCATGCTAATGCATTTAAGCAGGCTAAACTGTCAAAAGTAGGCATAAACATGACACTCAAGTCCGTTTTAAAAACGCAGCATTCAAAAACATGAAAGAACATTATACCTGGTCCTTCTCCGAGATAGTATACAGTGTGCAAAAGTGAACCTGTACAACCATTTCAATTTTAAGGCACATTGCATAAGACATATATGTATATGTAACTGAAACCAAGACTGAAAATACCTCTAAGCATGCATAAAACATCTATATATAAATGAAACCAAGGCTGAAAATACAGTGAAATATCACACCATTTCCAATTTGAATATGTGACATAACCGTGGTTCAACAAAGAAATCAAATGAAGGCCAAAATAACATTAAACATGCTCTTTTATATCTTGAACACTCATGAATTGTAGCATGCAATAAAATCATGAAGGCATGAAAAATAACCAACCTCTAAGGCATATTTCTTGACTCATAACTTCTTAAAGTGAGCACAATTGAACACATAAAAAAGAGCACCCCAATCAATTTCAGAAACTCAACAAATTAAGGCCCAACTACAACAACACAAGGTTCTTTCAATCTCAAATAAACTTCAAAAGGGCAAACTTACTACGACTCTAATTTCAGAAACAAACAAAACAGCACATGCAACACAACCGCCACTATGAACATGAAATTCAGTACCATGCTAATTAACCCCTTATTTATACAAATTCATTTATAACCTTTGCATATACCAAAGCATTTTCATTACATAAAGCCATGTACAAATCACATGGGAACGAATGCCTAATATTTCATCAAAACAAGGCAAGTGAACAAAATTATCATGTTCACCTATTCCTTTTTTTTTTTTTAAGCTTACGATTCTATTTGTCACTATTTATAACCAACAATAGCATATTAAGAACACATGATAAGGCATGAGGCTGAACTAGTGCATATTAAAAACATGAGCATATTGCAAAAACACATATTAAAAACACATTACCTTGCGGCGTCGCGAAAATTCGCGAAGTAGTATGGCTTCCTCCACTGATCGTGCTAGTCTCAACCTGCTTGCTTGAACTAGGGCAAATGCCCCATTTTCATAACAACAATAATGTTAATCTAGGCCAAAACATGTATAAAATATAATGGTATAGTAGATGAAGGAATTATTGAGATAAGACATTTTTTTTCTCTCGTACCTCTCTCTTCAGTAAGCAATCATTTGATTACCGGCTTTGACCTTCTCTAATGCCTCGTAAAGCGCTTTCTTATGCCTATCCGTTAACCACTACAAAAGATTTGAATATGAAATTACCCACTTTAGAATGAATTTCAGAACGCATCGTGCTACTAAGCCGAAATTAAAGATATTGGCCATTCTTGAGTAGAACTAAACAAAGGTATGTATAATAAGTCATTTTTTGGAGAATTCTTAGGTTGAGTGACCTGACCTAATACATATGACTTGATAGATATGAAAGAATATTCACATAATTCTCATACACCACCCAAAAAAATTGCATTGAAAATAAAATGAAAACAATTATGATCAGCAAAGGCCGAGTGGCCATACAATTTAGATAAAGATCTTCATAGGTCTGCAAATTAAAGAGAGATTTAAGAATTTTATCAAGATTTCTGAGTCAAGACTATGTTAAACAAGAACTCAACCAAATATCAACATCGAGAAGCTAATTAGACCAAATATAAGTAAATAACAGAACACAAGAATGAACCCAAAACAAAATATCGTACAAACAAATCCACATAGATTCAAGAGAGACACGAAACAAGAGCAGAATCGAAACAAAAATTTACTCGAAAAATGTCCGGTCAACCAGAACAGAACCAAGAGAAGAAAACCAAAAAAACATTTGTTCCACCATTTCTATAGGAACAATGGCGTCTACAGGAACTAGGGCAAAAAATTAACGATTTCAACATTCGTTCCACAAATCTTGCGAGAAATGGAAATAAATCGAAGGTAGAAAGTGAAGAATGGTGATTGTGGAGCTCACCTGTAGGCACCTAGGAAAATTCGAGCTTCACCACCACTTCAAAACGATGGCGATGTTCTCTGCAGCTAGGGCTAAATGTCCGATTTTTCCTTATATTGGGAGAAAGCTGTTAATTCGTGAAAAATAAAGGGTATAATGGTCTTTTCGCAGTGAACAGTGAGGATAGGAATGGTATTTGTGTTGGGCGGATTATTTAGTCTGAGGGGGGAGGTGGGATTTTTTTGTCCGATAATGGCGGATGAGAGAGTGCCACATCCGCGCCATGTCACCCCAATCCCATCCCAAACGTGC